TCTTCCATTCCTTCAAAACATGAAGGGTTTCTAGTATCCTGCACGCTTCGATGCATGTCCCTAGACTATTAGAAACTATCATTCACGAATAACGAATCACAGAACTATCATTCACGAATAAATGGCGTAACATCCTCAGAGCTCCTATACCCGTTTAAGTTTTATATTTATGCCAGTGGTAAATGGTTACGAAACCGTATATTTTTGTATTCACGTTTTTTTTTTAACCGTACCAGTTGCAAACAGTTTCAAAACTGTAAAGGCAAAGAAATGTTCCTAACCATACACTTTATGGTAATTGGATCAACAAACTGCTGTCGGCTATTTTACGGTTATTTCAGAATGAAAATTCTAATAGTGTACATATTTGTGTATAATAAGGGGTATTTTTTCTGTTACCTACCTCTTTAAAAAACCATTGTGTCTTACTTCAGATACAATTATAAACATTTTTATTATTAATATATTATGGCAGAGAGAGATTCATTCTAGCAATGAACCTCATGTGCCCTACTTTTTTTTCCTTTCTCGAAAAACATAACTGTCCATTTCGTCCATTTAAAAGGACGTAGTCACAAATGAGTTAAGAGTAATAAATTTTCGACAGCTCCCCTTCTTAAACTATTGAGACCACGTTTTCCAGATTGTTGCTCCCTCGTAATTTAAAGGCCTAGAATCTAAATTCGCCGAAAAAAGGGTACGCTTTGTGAGAGAAGTTACTTTTTTAGTCTGATTTCGTAATTAAAAATATCGCCTGCACAAATTAATTAGCGTATTCAAGTTAAGCCCTTCGAAACATTTAGATCGCATCTTGAAACGTGAAAATCTGATTTGTAGATCAAAAGTTATTCAGATGCTTTTTTTTATTTTTCATTCTGCACACTGTACAGTACAACAATATTTTTTATTGGCATGTCATTTAATTTAAAGAATGAGCTTATTTTAGAATATCTCGGTACTATAAGCAGTTGGTATTCGATGTTATTATTAATTTCACGAAAACATGAGTTTGCTCAGTCTTCAATTTTCCCAATAATGAATAAATAAGTATCTAAATACTTCGTTTTCGATAGTAACTTGTACAGTAATATACTATATGTTTATTGTATTTTTTTGTTACGTATTTATTCATGTATTGTTTTAAGAATATTCCAAAAAAATTATGTTTGGTATTAAAGACATTTTAAATTTAGTAATTTTATTATTTTCATAAATAATCTATAACAAGTAACTATAATTTATTATCATCAAATCATTATTCAAAATGATTTGCTATAAAATGTTTTTTCTTAACTTTTCGTATTTTATTAGAATCAGTTCCCAGGAAAATTAATTTTCAGTTTTGACTGCATTTTAAGTATCATAAAAATATTCAATATACTAAGATAAAGTTATTTTATTTAACTCGCTTATACATTGTCTTCATAATATTTTTAAAAAAATATTTGAAGCTTAGAATAAGGATTCATTAAATTTAGTAACTTCGATGTTTTCATTACTAATAGCGACTTTCTGCACTGAAATTTTTATCAGCAATGGATTATTATCGTAAATCTTTGCTTTGAAATTTTTTTCCTTAAATTATATTATTCCTTCTCAGTGATTAATTTATTATTACCAGCTATAAATTATTAGAAAAATTTAAGTATATTAGGTTGGCATTTTTTTGTTTGTTTTAAAATGGGCTGAAAGAAAAAACTGTAAATTACGTTGAATTGCTAACCTAACTTCTATCTAAAACTTTTAAAGACAAGCCTCACTTTCGGAAAAGCAAACATATCTTGATTCAGACAATCGAAAGCAAATTCTATTTGATGGGAAAGGAAAGCAATTCTCAGAAATTTAAATGTATGCTTTGTCTCTTAAACAAACGATTAAATAATAATAAAATTAATAATTAAAACTAAACTGATAACTCATCTATTAATAGAAAAAAACTTTAATTAACATTTATTCTTTACAAACAAGTAATTTTTTTTTTAGAAAAGAATAAAGTTTCGAAAACATATTCTCCATTTAATTTATCTTTGCAATTTTATTCTTAATTTTTATTAATTATTGTAATTATTAATTTCAAAATTAATTTTATTACTAATTTTTATTATTAATTTCTGTTAAACTTAAAATATATATTTTTTATTTTATATAGGCAATTGAGTAAGATCTATTTAACTTCTTCTTAAACACTATAGTGAGGTACAGAGAGTATCAAAAGAAACTTTATCACTGTCCCAATACCTCACAAGTTAACAAAACTTGTCTTAAAAAACTTTCGAAACCAAAAAAAATTACTTTAACATACTTAAAAAACACATTTTTGTCTTGCTTCAAAATAATTAAAGAAAAAACTGAGCATTACTTCCATAAAATGTTTTATTAATTTAGAAAAATGCAGTTGCAATTTTGTAAACTTTCTATACACAAATTTCATTGCTTTTTTTTTTAGATTTATAAAATATGCATTTATATTTAAGTATTATTATGAAGTTACTAAAATATTACATTTTAGTGGTTTGAATTGAAAATGATTTTCTAAAATACATTTTAGTTTTACGATTTTAATCAGGAATTTATTTGAAATTTTCATCAAAGTAATCAAAAAAATAAGTTTGTATGCATGTTTGTTTCATTTAATGCAGTACTTTTGCTTGAAAACAATCAAAGAGAGATAACTCTGCATTACTTCGCTATGAAAAATGTAAATAATTTTAAAAAAATATAATGTTATACATCAACACTTTCGTTGTTTTTACAAATATATAGAGATAGATACATTTGTATTCATGCAAAGTTACAAAAAAGTGTATGTTAAAAAAGATTTTAAAAAATGAACTAAAATACGATAATGTCTCCAATACGTTTTTTAAGACTCATTCATTTATTCGTACATAACTTTCTAAACATCGATAATTATTATTAAAAATAATTCTACATTAGATAACATTTAATGAAAAAATCTCAGAATATTGCTTAATCTTTACATTTGTTAATATAAATTTTATTTTTGCGTTTATTTGCTGCTTTTTACTTACATTGGTATCTAAAGTATTATGCTTCATGGTTTTTTCATTGATTTATTTCGGTCAACTAAGCTTTAGTAGGACTTAGAATAAGCCTTATTTCCTGGATTTCCACTGATTGCTTGATTCCTAGAAATATCTCTAAGAGATAGAAGAAAAGTTTCACGAAGAGAAATCAAGAAAATCATTTATAAATGGTAAATATTAACCTTCTAATAGTATCAGACAGTAAATAGCCTAGGAAGCATTTTTTTTTGCATGCATTACATATTGTTTTGCACTTTGATATTTTATACAAACATAAATTATGATTACTTAAACTAGAACTAATACAATCGAATGCAGATTTTATTAAGACCTTAAAAAAACTTATAAAAACTTATTCAAACTGTATTTGATAAAAGAAGAAAGCTCTAATCTAAGAGAACTCCATTCAATCTCTTCATTACTTATAAATTTAAATAAACTGTGTGATAAAAATGTTTTAATTTTTTTTGCAAATTCCCTCCCAATTATAATTTGAAACGCTATTTTTAATGTGCATTTCGCTTTTTCCTAGTAATTTTTCCATATAGCTGTAAATTTTAAAGATATCATGCTTCAAAAAGCATCATTATAGTGCGTTTAAATCCCTCGTTTTAGAAAATTAGTACCATTTGAAATGTCTGAAACTGCTTTAATTTTTGATTATAAGCTTTAGGGTCGTTCTGTTTTAACAAGCGTGTTACTGGATATATGAATGAATTTATATCTGGAATGAATAATTAAATTAACTGAAGGAACTTTCACACTACCAAATATATTTTTAATATTATCAACCATAATATCTTGTAAATTTGCTACAAACTGATAATTTTTAAGTTGAAACGTACTTTAATACACACAGAAAAAAATCTTATTAAATAACCGTACAGTATGGTAATGACATTACTAGTAAAAAATAACCACAATTCTGGTAATAATAACCCAAATATATGGTATTTAAAGCCTTCATTTAACTTTTACGCTCATATTGTAACGGTTTACTGTTAATTCTGGCTTTCAAAATTATAGTCCTTATTACCGAACATTTAATAAAAACTACAAAATTGAGAAATAAATTTAACCAAATAAATGATTGCCATGTATCATGATAAAAATACCAAATTTTGCCACATTTACCAAATTTTATCACATATAATAGCACTATATTATGGTTAATTTAAAAAAAAATCAATAGCAATGTGCTTCAGTAAAAATTACCGACCTTTTTGGTGTTCTCATAGAACTAGAATGGCGATACATTTTACTACGTTCTGGCATTTTTGATCGTACTTTTTTTTTCTCAGTGTATAAATTAATTCTTGTTAAAGTTGATATTTCTTAAACTTTGGGTTGAGATATTTTAATAACACCTCACCCCTTACTGGGAAATTATTCAAAATATCTGTAAAAGTTTAAATTACTTAGTGATAAAATTCCTTACAAAGCAAAATTTAGTTTTTTTATAAAATGAAATGTGAAAAAAAGTTTGGAAAAACTAAAATAAACAAGCAACTATTAACTAAATTCCAACACTTCTCCAAATACTCAATTCTATAAACTCATTTTTCTAATAAACTCATTTTTCATATCAAGCACAATATTTCAATATTGCTCCAAGAACATAAAAAAAATATTTATAAGTTTTGCTATGCGAAAAATTAAACTTATATTTTTATATATTAACTAGTCAAGTAAGCTCTTTCCTAACATAAATTCCAAGTTTTTAAGCTTTTAACCGCAAATCCTATTACACTAATTCTTGTAAATAGCTATACTCATTTATCCTTCCTTTTCGTGACAAAATCTTTTTCAGATAAAAGAATCAAATTAGAACATCCGTCATTAGTCTCGCTTGCAATGTACATCCATAATAGAATAAATTTCTTATAGATAGAAAATCATGCTTTACCCTCTTCCGTCGGACCGAAAAATCGAAATTCAGGCGCATGCTCATATATATATATTTTAACTAAGAGATCACGAATAATAAGAGAAAGATGTAAGCAAAGTGCCATTCTTCGAAAAAAAATATCTTTTTATGTTTGGTCTTGACATTGAAATGTAAATTGTGACCAGTACCTGCACATTATGGTAGATAAATGGTTATGGAATGTTAGAGGATGCGAATAGTCTATCTTTCCGGATATCCGTTGGTATCTGGGTTCCCTAAATCAATTTCCTTTTAGTGAAAAGCAGTAGTATAGTTGAGATGGCTGTTTTGGTTTGTCGTCGTAATGATGCAACGTGAAAATGCACGTGGAAATGTTTTGACATTTTAGAATTTATTTTTTTGAAATCGTGTTCCGTTTTTTATTGGAAGTGATTTGTGAATTTATAGCTTCCAGGTTGAATTTTAAAACTCGAACAAAATTGAATATCTCAAAGAAATTGTAGTTCTTATTTTTTCCCTGTTGTTTTATAAAAGAGTAGCATACTTGTTTCATGTAAAATAACCGAACCTAAAGTGTGATAATTATTTTATTTTTAAAAACATCCCTTGAAAAATATTTTATTGTATTCTAGCTATATATTTTATATGAAATAAGTTTTGATAAAAACAGCTTTTCTTTTAATTTTTAACCTCTTACTCTTGTGAAGAAATTCATTTATTTGTTTAATTTTAACTATATTTAATAAAATTTTACTAAGACCAGAAATCAATTAAAATAGTTTCAAATATTATTGTTTCATAAGTTTGCTCAATTTTTGAATGTTGTTAGTTACTTCTTTTAAATAGTCTAACTCTGTATATTTAAGAATATATAATATAATTATAAAAAAGTCGTATATATATTAAAAATAAAATTGGTGCAAAAATATATCGTAACAGATTCATTTATAAAACGGTAATCTGTGATTAAGTTAAGATTTGAAACTGTAGAAAAGGTATGAATCTGTAAAGTTTCTTTGAAAGTAATGAATTATGGGAATGGGACAGTCATGCAAAAAGAAGAAAAAGAAATTCAGTATTACACAGATCGATGAATCAGGAGCAAAACCAGGTAAGTTGTTAAAGTTTATTCTAATTTAAAGACAATTACCAAAAATACTAACATATCAATATTCACAGCCTCATATTTTGATAAGCAGCATTGTAAAATTTCTGTTGATTTAAAATTTGCCATCGCTGTTAGTCAAGCAGTCAAGTCTGTTCGAAAAACAAAACAGGCGCCATAAATCTGTTGGCCTAACTGTAATACCTTCAGTCCAATAAATTTAATTTTGAAGTGTGTTGAACAGTAAAATCGTTGGTATTTGTTAAAACTTTAATACGGTGCTAAATCAAACCACGCTGTTAAAAATTACGGATCAAATTAAAATATAGAGTGCCAGTGCTTTGGTGAAACCTTGTAAAATCCATTTTGTCGCAAAATCCATTTTTAACGTAAAATATTATATCGTAATTTTTACAGAAATAATTATTTAAAGTATTTCAGGGATTTTACAGTAATTATTACTGTAAGAATTACTGTAAAGCTCGTTTTTTTGTTCCGTAACATGTTTCGGTAAAAATAGATATTACGGTAAAAAGTACCGGCACCCTGAGTGTAGGTACTTATTACCGTACTTAATCCGGATTTTTTTACAGTGCGTGCAAATGAATTGTTCTTAAACTTCATTGCACAATACTATGGTTCAACTTAAAAAAAAGCCATTGTTGGACAAGAAATTTAATACTAAACAAAATTGGACCATACGATCACGCAAGCGAATTGTTCTTAAATTTAATTACACAATACTATGGTTCAGCTTGAATCGAATCATTGTTGAAAAGGACACTTAATACTCTATAAAATTGAATTATACAATCGTGCAAAATAATGGTTCCTAAACTAGAGTACAAAATACTCTGGTTCAGCTTGAACACCAAAAATGTTGAACTGAACAAGAAATTTAATCCAGTGTGAAACTGAAGCAAACTATAGTATAAAATAATTGTTCCTAAATTTGATTACACAATAATATGATACTGCTTTAGCAAGAACATTGCACAATCTAATATCTGGTGAAGGTTGCGGTAAAATTGCACGGTATCATAGATTCAATGCTTAGCCAATTTTACCAAGAATGAATGCTAGAAACACAAAATGTAAAAAAAAAAATTGGTGGAAGATGGCAAAGAGCATGTCGTAGTTTAATTATTACTTATTAGGAAAAGGTCTACTGAAATAGTGCCTGGGAATTTCAAGATTAAATAAAGTTTAAAAAATACTGCATTTTTATTTTAATTATTTAAGTAATCATAATTATTTTTATAATAAAAATTTTATAATGAAAATTTTATAATTTAAATCAAAGTTTTTAAAGGTATTCTGTGAGAGAAATGACAAACAATTTTTTATTTTAATCATAATTAAGTTATTATCACATGACTGCATCAACTAATTTATAAAATTATTTTTAAATTCGTACGTTTCAACTCTAAATGCATCTCGCGCAGACCCGTAGCAATAAATAAAAAATTCCAAAGAGAAATCTTGCGTAAAACTGAAATTACTAAGAGGTACGTGTGTAAAGCGGTACTTAAAAGTACAAACTGCTTAAATTATAGAGAAAATCATCAAAGGGGGAAATTTTACACTTACGAGAAACGTGTAAACGTATTAAAATATTTCGCAGTCTTGATTTCGTTACATGCTTTCTGAAGTTTAGCTATCAAACTATGTCTTACAAGCTAAATATTATCAACTACTTAATTATTAATTTTTGTTTGAAGAACTAATTTTAAAGGGTTTAAAAAATCGAACATTTGATCGAAATTGATTTCATTTTTAACCAAAATATGCATTTCTTCATCCAACAGAGTCTGATCTTGGCACCGTATAAAGTTCAAACTTAATCGGATTGACCTCAGTAAGTTTTGAAATAATAAAGGGGAAATACGTTTACAATATAGTTAAATTTTCGTCATTGAGGGGAGGGTTTAATAATAAGCTACTTTTTCAAACTATTCAGACGAGATTATTTTAAGAAAAACACCATGACTTCCATGCAGACCAAAAGATGTTTCATTGATACTCCAATGTTCATTCCATACAGATCACTCCATGTGATTAAATATTCAAGCCATGTGAAAAACCCTGTTAAAACCTATCTCGAAACAAAAATAAGATACAGTTTGATGTAACAATATAACTTTAGAAAAGATGAGGTTTATCACTATAACTTGTCGCAAAAATTTTATTTGTTAAAGTTAAATCACTTTGAACTTATTACTTTTAACCAGATAACTCTGAAAACAATGTTAGAAATTTACTTTCTTCATTTTCAGTTACTTTGGATGATTTTCAAATATTAAGAGCTATTGGCAAAGGAAGTTTTGGAAAAGTAAGTTGGAATTATTTTGTTAAGAAAACTAGCACAATTTGTTTATTATTGTTTGGCAGAATACAAAAACTTTCTTAGGCTTTCAAAGCGAATGTCCTAAAATTCAGTGCTAAACAGGTTATTTTGTTCAAGTTGTGACGAAAGCTTAAGTAAAAACAGAGAACATGTCATAAAAATGCAACAATATATACTGGGAAATTATNTTTCGATTTATGAAAGCTTTAAGCTCCATTTTTTCTAGAAAAAGAACAAACAAACAAAAAAAATCTTTAAAAACACACTATCCTAATTTTTTTCGAATTCAGTTAACTATTAGTCGAAACAGAGCCTATCTATTCATTTTCTTTTCGTTATTTAAACATTCATTATCTATTTATTAATATGATTAAAAGTCAAGATTCGTAATCTGAATTTCAACAACGAATTTTCATTTGTAAATTTTAAGTAAACATTCAGAAAAAATTACTTGGATAATGGTATTAATACCCAGAAAAATTAAATCGCTGACCTACAAAAAAATAAATCAACCTAATGCTTTCTCTTAAATCATTATGTGACATTTAAAATTTCTATTTTAAGAGGGAATCAACTTATTTTGAGATTTAAAAAAAATAATAAGGTAAATCGGTTAAATTAAGTAAACCAGATTATGTAACCGGAGTAAAATTTCCATACTGTTTTGTTTGGTAATGACATCCCTGGTGAAATATATATATATATATATATATATACAAACGGTATTTAAACCCATTTTCGTTGAGATGGTAACAATTTACGGGAAATTCTAAAATTATAGTTCTACACATTGCGCGAACGAAAAGTACAAAACTGAAAAGCAAATTGAACCGAATAAATTGTCTGAATTAGGTTTCATGATAAAATTAACAAATTTTACGATATTTACTAAATATTATCACATATCATGTTTACTGATAGTTTTACCCAAATCTTTACTGAAGCCCTTCGGTAAAAATCAACGAGCTTTTTGGAATCCCCATAACGCCAGAAATACAGTAAACTTTATTATTAACTAGTAATTTACACAGTACTTTTTTATCAGTGTTATGTGCATTTCTTGTGGGAAAAAAACACAGGAAGAAACACTTCCTTTGTTACGCTTGGAATACATAGTTTTAAGTGATAAATACCATGCTCAGACAAATTTGTTTTGGATAAATAAATTATTTTATGGCTTTTCCGTTCCTTTTTCTTGACAGATCAAAACACTAAGAGATTAATACATTATGATTATAGATTATACGTCGCATCCTTCTTGAAATATTTATCATATGCTCATAGCACTATAGCTGCTGATCGTTGAAGAAACTATCTAGTTTCAAAATTTTGTTATTAGTGTCAGGAAAATCATTTATAATGTTTTTATTTTTCTATACATTTTCAATATTCTAAGTATGGAAAATCCCTAAATAAATACAGGCACTCACCAAATGCGAAAAATTTGATTTCATTGAACAATCAAATAAAAAAAATAATGTACGAAAAAAAAATAAGTTTTAAAGAAATCAATCTTTATTTTAATATTCTAAAACGGGAAAAGAAAGTAATGCTTCAGAATAAAGCAAGGCAACCTTTTTAATTACAAATCGAAAAGCAAAATATGATAAGATTTATATTATGATGTGAATTTTAAACATCGTTATTTTAATAAATAGCATTTTATTCATAATTACAGGATGTTAAGCAATCACAACTCTTAACATATTCAATTTGGGTAGCAAGTTGTAAGTTAAATAGTATAATAAATCTTAAAAGCCTTTTATCTTTCGGTCTGGAGTAAAAAGATATCTTTAATGGTTGTCGTTCAAATAATTTCTCTTTCCGCTGGTAATAAAACTTGTTTTGATGCTATTAATCTCGAATTGTCAATTAATGATTCGTCAGGTTTAGTAAACGTTTTTGTTTCTTCCTAATTCGCATAAATAGTAATTTATGACCCTAATACTTCGACTTCAATATGTATGAAAGGATGTGAATACGAAACATCCTGTATACAATTCTACACCGTTTCTTAGATCTCAATTAAATAGAGTTAAGAGTGTTGTCATATCATTAGAGGCATAACGTGTTTCCTATATTTTTTACTTCCATTTTTTCCCTAAATTTATATTTTTACTTAATTCTTAATAAATAAAAAAGTTAATGAATTGAAGGTCAAGCATAACCAAGTATTAGAAACTATTTTCAAGTTTTTTATTTTTTAAATTGCTCTCCTATTAGTGTAGAAATGGGTCTGGGGTTCACTTCTTTCACCAAATTAATTAAAATATTAATGTTAGGTTTCATGAGGTAGGCTAATTTGGCTTGCCATATGGCAAGGCTCATTTCAAATAAAGTGATAATAATTTATTTTCCCCTATATTTAGAATCATGGGATATTACTATTTTTTACATTGGCTTTTTACATTGAAAGGTTGGAGTATCTTGCCAAAATCTTAGTTGCTATTTTGTTTTTACCATACGAGACTATATGTAAGATTTTGTGACTCTCAGTTTTTCCTGGAACATTCAACAGCAAAATAAAAATAAAAAATTTGATGTGGAATTATGAGTTTGCCATTTTTCTGAAGTTATTCTGTTTTAATAAAGGTTATAGGTAAAATACCTCTCACCAGCATCATTAATTTTTAAGTGTCAATTAGTTTTTAATGTAAAAATTAATTTTTAAATGTAAAAATTAATCTTTAAATATAAAAAGAATTTTCAAATTCATGATTTATGCAGTCATCTACTGATAGCTTCAGAAAATACAAAAACAAAATTACCAATGAAGGTCTTATATAAATGAAGGTGTTTATATAAATGAGAACAACAGTAAAGGTTTGCGTGGATAGGTTTGCACTTCTACGCTATGCGCTCATTCATTTGATCATTTGTCATTGAGCATATTTGACATTATAAATATGGAACTTATTAAGTCGATTACTTATAAACACAGATGGAAAAGTTTATGGAAAGTTATGGAAAAGTTATGGGAGCGAGATAATATTCAAATATTCAATCACAATATATTATCTCGCATATANCAGGGAAAGATTACACAATATTTATTTAATAATTCTTGGAGAGAGAACAGTCATTCAAGTGACAGAAAATCGTTGTGCTCTTCAATAAAAGTTAGGGAATATCTGGCAAAGTAAATCGGTAAAATATTTCGTTTTAGGGAATAAGGGAAATCTTAGTAATTATACTTAGTTGATTAAAAAGGTCAAGGGAAATTTATCAATTTAGATTTCTCATGCTTAGTTACAGGGATAAACATTAAAATGTTAATTAATGTATACTTGAACTAAAAATAGATTAAAATACAGGATGTGATTAGTAAGGAAAATGTGAGAAAGAGCGTTTCGTTTATAATAATAAATTAAGAAAAAGATTTAGATAAAGGAATGACATAAAAAGAATAGTTGAAGATAGATACTATCCTGTTCGAATTAATTGGGACAAATGAAAAAAAAGTGATTTATTGAAACTTTAGCTTTTAATCATTACATACCTTAAGTTACATTGATACACGATATAAAGTATGCCCTCCTTTAGCAGATATGACTTCAAGAACACGTTTTGGCATTGATTCCACTAGTGTAGCGTACATGTTCTTGACTTCATCGTCGAGGAACCATACTTGAATAGCACTTTTTATCATTTGTTCTGCTGTCGTGCAATTCATCTTGGCTAAGCGATTTTTTAGAATATGCCACATATTCTGAATGGGATTTAGGTCTGGTGAATTACCAGGCCAATCAAGCACTTTTATTTTGTTTTCTCGCATAAAATTCTGGTCCAGTTCGGAATTGTGACAAGGGGCCAAATCATGTTGAAATGTTCCGTCGAATGTTTCCATGAATGGAACAATCCTACTATGTAATATATCGATGTATTTGGCTGAATTCATCATGTCTTTTAGAGGCACTAAGCTTCCAGTGCTATTTGTTGTGAAGAAACCCCAAAACATTTGTTTAGAAGGTTGTTTTACAGTCTGTTGGATATGATCTGGTCTCAGACTTTCGCCTTCACTTCGTCTAACTACACTTGATTTTTGTCCTTGCACAAATAAATGTGTTTCATCACTGAAGACCACTTTCTTCCAGTCATTTACAGTCCATTTTTGGTATTTTCTGGCCCATGCTAAGCGCTTTTTCATCATTTTCTGAGTTAGAAATTGTTTTTTCCTTGCTCTTCTTGCCTTACGTCCAACTTTCTGGAAGCCTTTTTCGTACAGTTGAAGTACTCACATCAGCACCACAATCCAATAAATCCCTTCGGAGGTCTGTGCTCGTCTTTCTTGGATTAATTTTACTATTTCTTATTAGATTTTTATCAGTTCTTGGAGTAGTTTTCCGTTTGCGCCCACATTTTCCTTTTCTTTTTGGAGAGGATGAGCCGGAATCTTAAAATGTTCTAAGAATTCTGGAAACACTAGATTTCCCTACACCAACTGCTGTAGCTATGTCTCTTACAGTCATAGAAGTGTGTTCATTAAGAGCTATATTTTAGAGCGCTTCCTCGGACTAATATCAATCTTTTATAAGCACATAACTTGTGTTAAACTAAACTCAAAATTATAACCACCAGTTTCCACACTGAAATGCTCACAACTGAACTACAAACACACTAAAACCAGTCAGATGAGTAAATTATAGTGAAGGTCTATCCGTCACCGCAGCTCAAGGCAGATATAGCTGGTTTGAAGCGGTTCGGGACATCACTGGCAATCCCATACCAACTCGAATGAGAAAATCTTGCTTGTCCCAATTAATTCGAACACTATAGTAGATATGTTGCTGCAGTACTCACTTCTTTGCTAAAAACAATAACTCATCTACTCCATAGACCCATAGATCTTTCTAAAAGTTTTATGTGTTCAAACTATTTCTGCCAACAGTTGTTACAAAATAATCCAAATGTTCAAAACGTATGATTATTAAAGACATTCTCAGAGCACTTTTGGACAACTGAAGCATTTTCAGAAAAAAATAGCGTCCATATCTTGACTTGAATCCAGTTTTTAGAAATTCACACATTTTAAAAAATTCACACAGTGTCCGCTCTATTGCTTCATTGATATGGACAATGGTTATTTCACATAAAACCAGTTTTAAAAGATTCACTCTTTTCAAAAATGTTTAAAAAATTCACAAAGTGTTAGCTCTATTGCTTCTTTAAACATTCAAGTCTCAGAGGATTAAATTAAAGAGTCTGCATGATAGACCACACATAAAATGTTAGCATTAAAACACAAAAGAGAAGGCAGATGATTTTATGATTAAAATTACTATACGCTGAGATGGAATATTAAAAGCCGATACTTAGGTGCCGGAGTTTGCTTTAAAACTACTTAATAAAGCTTGAAAGAAGTAATTTTTCAATAAATAAATAAATGAAATAATTTAAAACTTCTAATAAAGTTGCATATGAAAAGTGCTCTAGCGTAACAGGCATTAATGCAACAGCGGTTCAAATTTTGAATTGTAAGGTCTACATTCTTTCACATAATTTTAAATTACGTAATTTGAGATGACAAAACGTAAAATTTGAGCGAAATCGGTTAATAAGTTCCCGAGAAATCGAATCTTAAGAAAGTCGTATATTTGAAATTCGACTTCTTATAAACTATTTGACGAATTTAGCTCAAATTTATATTTTGCCATTTAAAATTACGTGCTTTGAAATTATATAAAAATTGTGTACTTCACAGCTCAAAATGTTTTCGACAGTTATAAAATAAAATAATGATAAATAATAAATATTTACTAAAATTTTTCTGTATGAAATTATCTTTGGATAATTGTGTGCAATTTTTTTAAAGATCTTTTCGAAAAGATAAGGAATTAAGCGAATTAAAATAAAGATCTTTTATTTTAATTCGCTTAAAAAGTTCTCCAGATATGGCGAAATACGCAAAAAGTAAAATTAACATTACGGTGTCCAAACTTTGGATAGCTCCCCTCACTAAACTGTGGGTTCCAGAATACGGCTACCCCTATATTTTGGGAGTCAGAAATCCTAATCCATTTCAAAAAATGTATGTTTATTCAAAGAAAGTATGTTTTTGTGTCTGATTTCGTAACTTAAAATATCATATGCACTTATTAAATAGCATATTTGAGGTCCTCCTCCTCTTGAATCATTAAGTTTTAGTCCTAAGACGCGAAGATCCGATCATCAGATCAAAAGTAATTCATGAAGGTCTTTTTTTTTGTGATCTGTACCTTATGTGATAGGTTCATGCAAAGGATTTTCTTCATGGCTATAAGGAGCAAGGGCATCTAAAATAGCATTATAGGGTTTATCTGCTTCGGTAAAAATTTAAAGTATTCATTGTTAGATTCAAGGAAACAAAATATTTCTTTTGCCTTTTAGGTTTGTATTGTACAGAAAAAAGACACCATGAAAATGTACGCTATGAAGTATATGAACAAAAGTTGCTGCATTGAAAAAGATGCATTCAAAAATGTTTTGAAAGAAATTGAAATTTTGATTGAGCTTGAGCATCCTTTTTTGGTTAATCTGTGGTTTACGTTTCAAGTAAGTTATAACTTTACTTACAATGATGTCATTTTAAAGTAATCAACAAAGGTCAACAAATGTGTGTTTTTAAAATTCAACTTAAAATTTTTCTTCAACTAAGCTCTTCAATTATGAGTAGTTTCTTTACAGGATGAAGAAGACATGTTCATGGTTACAGATCTTCTACTTGGGGGAGATTTGAGATATCATCTGCAGCAAAGTAGTTCCAATTTTGATCAAGATCGAGTAACACTCTATATATGTGAAATCGCATTAGTTTTAGACTACCTAAGGTCAAAAAGAATCTTGCACAGGTTGGACAATAGTTCTTTAAAATGAGATATTTTTAATATTTTTTAAAAAATTATTTGCTTAACTCACTAATGGCTTACAATAAAATGTGATCTATTTATGAAAAACATTTATATAAGTGAAGTGTTAGTACATATTCATTCCCATTCGTCTATGGCACTAGGATATTCCATACTGCTACTTTAAAAAAGGCAATGTGCTATGATATCAGACCCAAGTATAAACATTTTTATTACTAATATATTCTGGTAGGCAGAAGTATGTAGTTTCTGAAAAATGAATCCCATGCTGAAAAAAAGTATAGTTAAAACCACCCGAATGTAGTAACATTTACCGTTTTTCTGGCTTCAAGGAACACCAAAGAGCTTGGTAATTTTTATCGATGTGCTTTGGTTAAGATTTTAGTAAAATTAGTAAAGAAATATTGCTCTATAATATCTAATAAAATTTGGTATGTTTATCGTGATACCTTAGTGCAAGAAATAAAAGGAATTTATTCTGTTAAATTCATTTTTCAGTTTTGTATTTTTTACTAAATGTGCTGTAATAAGAACTATAATTTTTAAATCCTGTATTTCCAGTAAACCGCTAACATTTGAGCGGAGAAATTAGACAATTAATGGTTTGAACATCATATACATATAACCATAATACCAGAATTATGTTTTTTATTTCAGAAATATCATTACCATACTCTATGGTAATTTTACGGGATTTTTTTTCTTCATGTAATCATGAAATTTTTATAGTACCCAATTATCCCTTTTTGGAAAAAAAAAAGAAAAGCTGTTCTTTTAAAAAGACAACAGTCACAAATAGGTTAAAGTAGACCAACTTTTGATCATACAAGTTAACTCATAATTTGAAAATATTTATTATGTAATTCTAGAATGACCAAGCAAAGTTTTGTTGAAACTTGCATTCTGCTGTTGAATTCTTCATTTTTTTTAATTCCTGCAGTTCACTTTTGTTAATTTCTTTGTGACAAAATGGAATATTCGTTCCAAAATTAGGTGCAATGGAAATCAATAATATAGAAAGGTTTCATAGCATGTTTTCACACTGAAGAAAGTTTGGTAAAATAACCGCACTGTATTGTATTGACATTTCTGGAAAAGAAAACTATAAATCTTGTTAATAAAATCGAAATATACGATATTAAGCAGTTTATTTGGTAATTTTTTCATTCATATGATAAAGGTTTACTGGAAATTCTGGTTTTCAAAATTTATAGTTCGTAATATCCCACATTTAATAAAAAATACAAAACTTAGAAGGAAAAAAAAACTTAACCGAATAAATGTTTTCATTCCATGTTTAACTGTATCTTGATAACCAAAGTTCACCCCATTTACCAAATTTTATCGTATATTATAAAATTATATTTATTGGTAATTTTATCAAAATTATTACTTAAGCGCGTCTGTAAAAATTACGGGGCATTTTTTTTTTCTTGGAGCCAGAAACACGGTAAATTTTACCATATTTCGGTTGCTTTGACCATAATTTTTCTCAAATTGCATTTCCTGTTCAAAACTGATTACACGCATTTTGGAATGCAAATTATTATTTAATATATAGCACAATAAAGACAAAATGGATAAGAAGAAAAAAGAGAAAAGCGAAGAAAATTAATAAGTTTTATTTACTGCTCATAACTGCAAGTGTATAGAACTCATAAAATAAGTTAAAAATGACATTAAAAGGAAAAAAAATTTAAAATAAACTATTTTTAAAAATATTAAATATATATATATATATATATATATGGAAAAATTCCCAAATGAATGATTTAAATACCGCATATTTTAGTTTATAAAGCCAGAATTATGCTTTTTTTCTTTGTTTTTTACCGGAAATGTTATTATCGTATAGTATGGTATAGTATCATAGTTTTTTCCTTACATTTCCTATTTCATAAACCTATAAGACATTTCAAACTAAAACTATTATTATGCTTCTACAAATGCAATTCTTCAGACTCTAAGAGAATACTTTATATGTTTCATATTATAAACTATCCTAATATTTATTGAAATGTTTAATAAACAATATTTATTTAATAAGTGAATATTAAAATGAATTTATAGTTTTTTTATTAACTTTAGAAAATACACGAATTAGAAGGTAGGAGCAGTTTTTGGTTTTAAAACTTTGTATGAAAACTCCTTATTCAGAATATTATGTTTTAATTTATTCCATGCAGCAAGTCACGCAATTTCAATTTGTCGCTAAATAAATATTTACTTACGGTAAATTTTAAATAAAAACAAACTAAACTTTAGATTAAAAACAGAAGAGGTTTAACTCATATTTATTTAGCGGGAAAGTTTCTTTTTAAATTTTCGCTTTACACAGTCCTGTTGATTTTATTGATTTGTATATGTTGGCTTGAAATTTCTAGGATTTAAAAATAAAAATTAATTTGACAAATTAAACAATAGATAAAAATCTACTTTCCAACCGTATCTAAAAGTACGTCTTAACAAATCATAATAGTTTCCAATTAAAGCTGACTCTTTCTATTTGACTAAATCCGTGAGTACTATTACTCGATATATAAATCATTAAAATTAATATCAGAAAATGGAGTGTTGAAATTATTCCCTATTATTGATCTTCAACATCCGTTCTTCCTCTCATGCATTATAATAATGCTATTTGACACTGAATCATTGCTCCTTCCTTTAGAATTTTGAACATGAGCCATGAAATATTATAGTCCATAAACCGATAAAAGAGTAATTATGAGATTTCTGCGATAAAAGCTCATTCAATACATGTAATGATGATAATAAACTAAATCTAATAACTAGAAGGTTAAGTTGTAATATCATTTTAAAGAGAGCCACTAGAAGATTAAGTTTATGAATGAAGAACTTAATTATATCGCTGCATGAGAAAAAAGGACTTAACTGTTTAAATTACTTTTCGAGAAACTGGAGGGGAAAAAAATTTAAAAAAAAGCTCTAATTTTTTCTGTTAGTGCGAAAAGTCTGAAAATAATTTACTTTATGGTCTTGTTCATAAAGTTCTTTCAGCATGCTTTTATTTTTAATTCACAGAGTTTTGACTGAATGAATTAAAAGTTTAGACCGTGAACAGAGACTTTTTTAGGAAGCATTTAAGAAAATGTAAAGTTCTCTCGGTATCTCGGTATTAATTTACATTGAAAGGAAAGAAGATTACATATATATATAGCAAAATAAATAAATACAAAAAAATAAATTAAAATTTTTTTTTGGATTTTTTTATTATTTCTTTTCTTTTATTTTTTTTCCCCCAGTTGTTTGTCATTTTTTTATTATTATTTTTCTTTTTCCCCCTTTTTCACTGTAATTTTCCTTTGTTTTATCCTCATTTTGAACTTATATATATATATATATAAAGAGAGAGAGAGAGATTTCATTCCTGTTTATTCGTTATTGGTGTACTTAAGAGGCTAGAGCACTTCGTAAGTACATTTAACTGTGAGGATTGGGGAATAAAAAAGATTCATACTCAAACCATATTTTTATTACTTATTTATCTAACTATTAAGTGTCCTCCACACTTATACTTCTTGTTTTCAAATTTCGAACTAATATTAATCACTTAATCACTAATAATTCTCAACACATGAAGAAGCAGTTTAGATAAATATTTTCAACATCATCATCTCTTTTCATGTCAGTGGCACATAAGAGTAAGTGGCACATCATGGCGAGTTAGTTTTGGGCATCCTCTCGATCGTTTCCCACCTGGTGGCAAGTTCGTTATTAACTTTCTTTGTCTATTCTTAACATATGGCCGCTAAAGCGCCATCTCAATTTCCTCATATATGGAAACTGGCTGAAACACAATATTAAAAATTTAATGTTTTTTAAAATCAAGGTTTGAGAATTATTATAAATTATTTTTTTAACTAACACCATCACCAATGAGAAAAATATTTAATCTTTTTCTCTAAAAACAGGAGTTCTGTTATCAGGATTGACTTCTGATTGGTTTCTGAAGATGTACAGAACTTCAGTCCACAGTTGGGCTTAAACTATGCCACAAGATTCTCTATGCCATACATTCTAGATTTTTTTTGATTAATTCATAGTCTTTATGATCAAGAAGGTATGAATGTTCTTGACCTAAAAAAATAATTAAAATCTCTGAGCGCAAACTGGAATCAGGAAGGCTAGTAATTTTTCCATTGGAAGGGCACTTACCTTTATATTAGTGCCTATGCCAGGAGTTATCAAAAAGAAATCGTGTTTCGTCACGACAAAATACCAGTTTCCTTTTAAAAACTCAATCCCATAAGGAATTATTATGAAGCATTTTAATGAATATAAATTAGTTTTAAGGCATCCGTGGAATATTTACTTTACAATGCTTTGTTTATTTGCACTTGTCTTGCCATTGCATTTCTCTTGCCGTTGAGAGAGGAAGTCAAATAATCTACCTCGTAGTTCTTTCAACAGACATATTTCAATTGCAGAATCATTCTTTTTTATATTTTATCAAGCAATTTCTTTCCTTTCTTTCATTGTTATTTTTTTATTATAACAAATCTTAAAATCAAATCATTGAATTTGTTTTTAATTATAGTTGCGCCTTTGTGTTGGTGCGTAATTTCCTAAAATTTACAAAACCTTTGAAATTCAATTATTTCACGTAATCATGCAATATTAATTATTACTGCAATAGAAAAATCAGCTTGAAATATCGTCTAAAAGTTAAATAAAAATCGCATATTATACATATCAAAAATAATGCACAATATAATTATTTTGATAAAATAAAACCTTGCCTTAAAAAATATTAACTTGTTTTCCTTTTTTTAGAGACATTAAGCCAGATAATATTCTAATAGATGACACTGGTAAGTACTTTAGACACTTAGTTTGACAATTTTCTAGCATTAGTTTTCTATAATTTAAGAAATAATGACTACGGAATTTATTGCGCATTGCTCTGAGAAATCGGTTACTAATCCTTTTAAAAAAATTCTAGCTTGAAAGAGTCTCAAATTTGTAATAGTGATATAGATTAGGACGAAACATTTATCTTTATTGATAAGTTAAGCAAAAATAAACAAACTTTGGCTGGATAGATTGTGTGTATTAAATCCTGCACTTTAAATAGATCAATTGTCAAAGATAATCAAGGAGAAATATACTAAATTTAAATATATCTTTGATAACATTTTAACAGCAAAAGTAAAAGCATCCAGGATTATAATCAAAAAAGTGGAACATAAGATAAAGTATAAAGCATAGCGCAAAAAGAGAGAAATAAAAAAATTTTACAATGGTCAATTTTACTAGTTAAAACCAACTAATCATATTTTCACAGGGGGTGCCTGTAAACGTGCCATTTTTCTTCACGTTCATGAGAAAAGGCCAGTCTTTGAAAAAAATATCTTCTGAAAAAGTGTTAAAAAACTGTTATCCAAATTTTGAGCATTTGTTTTCTTGATATCGATGAATAAAATTGTCTATTTGTGATTTTAGGATTTTGATAGTACAAATAAAAGTGTTTTTATCCACTAAATTTGCATAAAATCCAAAATCTCATTTTTATCCACAAGACTGCGGGACATCATATAAGAAAAAATTTAAATGAATCACACTTCAATTTTTAATTAAAATAGGCAGGAATTTTCCAGTTAACCCAATAAGTATGAATTGTGCTTGATGAGTAGGTGGGTAGGTACTTTATTTACGTCGCACTGGAGCTGCACAATGGGCTATATGTGCTTAATATTGTATGCGTGGATACATGAAAAATGCTTGATTTATAACTTTTAAAATTTTTACCGTAATTGCGATAAATACTTCTATTTCAGTCAAAAGCATTTGATATTACTTGAGCATAATTAGTGCTTTTAAAAATTATTTTCACATAATTTCATTTCTTTGTATATCTAATAAAATAAAGTATATTTTTGCCTAGATAACTGACTAAGAGTAACTTTTTAATTTTTGTTTTAGGGCATGTTCATATCACAGATTTTAATATAGCAACAAATTTAAAAGAAGGAGAAGCAGTTACATCCGTATCGGGTACAAAGCCATACATGGGTAATATTATATTTAATATTTAATAAATAAAATGTTTAGGTTAAAACTTTTAAACATAATGAAAGAAATGGTTTTATTATATTTTTTTGTTATATTAATAGAGCTTCTGCCCATGAAAAAAAAAGTTTTAGAGAGCAATCTTTAAATTATATCATTTATTCTTTGTAATTTTTTGAACATGAAAATAAATATATCAAGCACATTGAAAAAAATCAGGATCAAAATAGAATAGAAAAGTACTGGCACTCAGGGTGCAATCAGGGTACCGTAAAATCCATTTTTACCAGAACATGTTACGGAACAAAAATCTTACCTTAACAACAGCAATAATTATCTTAAAATCCCTGAATCACTATAAATAAATATTACTGCAAAATCTATGGTACATTTTACAGTAAAAATAGATATTACGGTAGAATAAATTTTATGAATTATTCCACTTGATTTAATTAAATTTTATATTTTCCATTTTATTTACAGTGATCACCACTAATGAAATTACTGGAATATAAAATCAGCCACTTTTTAAAATCAAATTTGCAAGAACGGAATCATTAAATTATCAAGACATGCTAAAATCATTCTCTAATAAAATCATTATCGCCATTTTATAAAATGTGTTTTTTGTCGGGACTATGTTTAAAAATGGAAGTAATCAGCGTTTTCTTTACTGAATATTTAGAACTTCCATTTCCCCCAAGTTTTGAAAGTATTTAAAAAACAAATTTCATTCGACCCCTAACTAACAAAGAAAAGAAAATGATACAAATGTAGATTGCAATCTTAGGGAGATTAAAGGGGGATAAATAAAAACATGAAAATGGGGAATATATTCCATTGAATACTGTTAATCGATTAAGTAAAATTACGGAATGCTCATCATTAAATGTCAATAATCATCACTCATTCGATGATTCAATATGAAGTAAATGTATCCTCAATAAATATCAGATAAGCGCTTGATATTTTGAAATAAACTAACAGTAAAAAAACAGTTATGAAATCAGACACATAAACATACCTTTTTTTTGATGGATTTGGATTTCTGTCCTCTAAAATATAGGGAGTAGCAGCAGTCTGGGAAGTATTATCCCAATAGTTTAGTCAGGTGAGAGGTACCAAGTTTGGAAAATTTAATGTTAATTTTACTTTCAACATATTCAACATATATCGAGAACTTTTTAAGAGAATTGAAAAAAAATTTTACGCAATTATGTGGTTTGTTTACCTAAAGATAATTCCATGCAAAATGTAACTCTTGGTATATATTTAATAATATATAATAATAGTCGAAAAACTTATTAATATTTTAATAATAGTAGAAAAACTTTAATTGTTAGGTATACAATTCTTTATATCATTTTGAAGAATGTAATTTTATATAGCAAAATACAAAGTCTGAGCAAAATCGGTCAAATAGTTAATGAGAAATCGAATTTTGGAAAATTCGAATTTTTAAAATTCTATTTTGTTAAAACTATTCAACCAATTTTGATTGAATTTTGTATTTATCCATGTAAAAACACTTTCCTTGAAATGATAAAAAATTTTATACCTTACAATTAAAATTTTTCCGCCTATTATTAAATAAAATAATAAAAAATAGTAAATACTCAATTAAAGTTTTTTTTCCATTGAATTATTTTTGGCTAAACGTATATCATATTTGAGTCCTAAAATTTCTCAATTCGCTTAAAACTTTCTCGAGCTATGGTGAAATTTGGAAAAAGTTTAGTTAACATTAAGGGGTGAAAATTTTGGACCTCACTTCTGACCAATCAATTGGGACCATATTTCTCAGATTGCGGCTATCCTCTATATTTCGGGGGGTGAAATATCGAAATCCGTGAAAAAAAGATATATTTATATTTGTCTTCTTCACTTAAAAAAAAAGATATATTTATTCAGAGAGAGTACGTATTTGTGTCTGGTTAAATAGTAAGCTCTCTAATTCTATAGTTAATTAGCATGCTTGAAGTCACCCTCACGAATCGTTAAGATTGAGTCTCAGAAAGTAAAGATCCGACTTTAGATCAAAAGTTATTCAGAGTGGTCCGCTTATTTTTTTCGTGAGATTAGTTATGGAGGTGAGA